GTGCTCATGTTCACTTTCTTATTCTTCTCAGTCCCGATTGTGCTGCGCATATTTTCCTAGTCCACCAATACAAATGGTAAAAATAAAACAGAGATAAAGCTCTTGACATTCATCAACCTCTAAGAGATGCGCCATGCATTCGTCTTCAATTTTTCCAAACTTCGCTTGAGGTGACTGAATGCATATCTGGCCTAACTTGCGGTGACCTCCCGCTATATCGACTCAGTGTTGCTTATTCTTCCAGAAAATTGTGAGACCAGTCTGGTACCAATTTATTGACTCTCAAGGGATGGATAGCTTGGTGAGCCATGAAGGCGTGATCCAACTACCGACCTGTGTGAGATGCAGAGCACCTCTAGCCACTGCGTCATATGCGCACAAGAATGATTAAGTAGAATGAACTTGCTATAAAAAACACGAAAACAAAAATGAGGATATTTAATCCAGAGATTTGGTGAAATTATCGCCAACTAGTAAGTAAGAAAATTTTTCTGTAAGAGGATAAGACAGCTTCATCGCACAGTAAGTTACGAAAAACAGTAAAATTCTGCGAAAAGGGAAATCTATGCTAGTGCACATCGCAAAAAAAATTGCTGTGAAATACAGGTTTTAAACGAGATGAACCGTTACAGATTTTGTTACACCTAGAGGAAAAAGTGGGAAAAAGAGAATGAAAGGAACATATGTCGAATAATTTTGAGGACTTATCCCAACGACTATTGCTAAAGACTACCTATGACCCTAACGGAGAACAGTCGAAATTTCATTGGAAATTCCCCTGTTTCGTAATCACTACAAATCTTTCTTTCAGAAAATAAAACGGGAGATAACCCTCATTCTGTGAAACATAAGACGATTGAGAGGGCTTGGGAGATCGAAGGGTGGGGCACAGAGTGAAAGTGTCCTTGGCGATGTGCAGAGTGGAATCTACGCGCACGAAACTCAAATATCGGCTGGTATGTTGAAATGAATTTTTTGAACTCGTGCCAAAAAACGAAGTTCTATGGAATGAAAGACGAGTGCACGTGAGTGATTGTCGCTTCGAGGACATGAATCATGGACCTGTCGTTTGCACTTAAGCGTTCAGTACGTGATTTTCGATCATAAAAGATTTCATAGATGACGAGCACTCTGAGTTATCGTATTCGCTGCTAAAAATGCCCAATTTTTTGTGTTCTTCCCTAGAAGACTTCTTATCCATGATGATCAACAGAAGACGTTCGTAGCATAGTGATCACTAGCACTTACTAATAAAATTCGCCTCAATCGCCGGAAAATCCACATTTTTCAAATTATCGAGCACATAATTAACTTGAGAGCTTAGGTGAGATGCGTAGAGACAAATAAATACATAAAAAATATAGAACGAATGTGTAGAAATGCAAAAAAGGAACGAACAACAACAAGGAATTTCCAAACTTTTTCGCTTAGGTGAAAATTTGAAATGAGTTTGATCATACTACACTTTTCGAACGACACGGGCATTATGGTTTCAGTGCACGGTTGCGCAATTCTCCTTAGATTATCTAGTCTGTAAGTCCTTTTTCGATTTTCGAAAATGAGCCATAGAACTACTGTCTCGAAAAGCCCAGTGAACATCATCTCTCTCATATCCCACAGAAAATATACACTGAAATAGAAGCATGCAAATTTAGCGCTACAGTCGAACGAAAAAACGAAAAAGCTAAGGAAAGATTGAACAATAACTTGCACGGCCTCCTAACACATGTTCAGTGATGAAGCAGAACGTTTTTGTGTGCTGCACTGTATTAGTGTATTCTACGGCACAGTATAGAATAGAATATACGGGGCGCCGTGACCGAGTGGTTGTGATACTCATCGCGGCGCGTATCGAGCCGAGCTCCATCCCCCCCCCCCCCCACCTCACTCCGGCAGTCGGCGACAACGCTCTCTGGAACGCCACAGCAAGGCTATCCTCGAGATTTCAAAGAGATTTGCTCGACCAGTATTCTATGCCGTTTGAAGGACGAAAAACGAACTGGGTGCTAGAAGTACTGGGATCCGCACAGTGAAGAAAAATTGAACAGTGTGATGAAGGACCAAATGAAGTATAAAAAATTGTACTGTATTCTACAGCACTGCACTGTATTCCACAATATGTCATCGCCCTGAAGGCACATAGACCAAGAATTGTTGACTAACTGAGGTATCACATCTTTAGACGAAACTATGATGAACAGATACACTTATTCATGTTGAAGAAATATAGGGCAGTAATTGGTGTCCTGCAATGCACATGTGGACTTCGACAGGCATCCCGGGACCATCGATCATTCGAATGAATTTCGATACATGGCACATCACCAGAAAAATGATCAACAAGGAACGTTTCATCGCTTACTCTTATGTCGCTTATCCTTAGCAGTCCCGGGTTGTTCAGGAAGGAGCCTCGTTGCCGTACGGCTCCCTCTGATGCAATAAAATCCAGATTGGATGTGGCGATGACGTCATAACGCTTTATAACTGATGATGCTGATAAAAATCGAGCAAGAAACGTTTACTCAGATAAACAATTGCCATTACAAAAGTTATAATTAACGCTGTCTAATCCTTGATGGTTTCATCCAACTATGTTTAAAACCATTCAGAAGCCCTACCTTAACAGAAGTTCAAAATCATTATTCTGAGGAAAAGTGGACAAGATACTTCGATCGGTAGTAATTACGATTGCAAAATGGACTTCTTGCATTGCAAAACTCAGAAAGAATCACTGTATTCAATCTAGAAAGAGATACTATCGCCCGATGTAAGTGATATATAATTTTGCGACAGCGTAAGGGGAGTTAGAGGCCTCTTTTCGACGAGCCGCTGCCAACGACAACAACGACCAACATCTATCATGCATGAATCGGGGAAATTCTGACATGAGCCAAAGTTGAGAAAACGAAAGACAACAACGCGAAGTGAATCCACTCACCACTCTCCTCGAAGTCACCAAATATTCAGCACAGTGTAAATTACTACAGATCAATTTTTTGATCATTCCAATGTTTCATTTTTTCTAATGTTATGATAAGTAAAGAGGATACCAAGCAATTAATTCGAATGTTGAAGAGGGTAGCTACGAGTCGAAAAGGACCTTTTGAAAAAGAAAAATTTTGTGAAGGTTGAGAGCTTTCAATTCCCACTAATCTTTTGAAACCCGCAAATGGAGAAATGCGGAACTAGAGAATGAAGTTCAACATTGTCAGAACATCTCAACGGATTTTCGATGCATTTACCTTGTACGCCAGGGAAAAAAGCTCAGAAGCCGCTCTTGAAAAAGCTTCACCCCAATGCTCTTCTCATAAGCACATAAATGCTGATATACAAGCGAAACTTCGCAGTTGGTGTTGTTGTATCACGGACTCCAACCGCCATTATGACTGTCCCAAAAAGGCATCGAGTTCATGGCATGAAAAAAAACCAGTAACACCAAAAACCATGACGTCTCCCCATCATGCTGTAAAGTAGGGCTTAGTGTGGGGCATGTGGCACTGATGAAGCGGACGATACCGTCGATACGTACGTATGCCATTGACGTGTCAATCTCGAAAAGGCTTTGAACATTCTCAGAGACGAAAACACCAATTCCGAAGTCGCGCTTTGATCTCAGCATTCATAACATTATAATTCACATCGTACCCTTCATTCAAAAAAAAAAACTAAGCAATAAATGAAAGTTAGAATGATCAGTGCTCAACAAAAAAGCTTACAATGTGAACTAGGACTTCTGTATCAAGTTTTTCTGTTAGTGTTATGAAAGCGTTTGACTGAATAGGTAGCGAGTCAATTCGACCTTTCCAGGCTCTAGAAACGGTGAAATCTCCGAAACGTTGGCCATTACTGATTGGTTGAATTATTCTTACTGTTTACAATCCCGTGTTTATCTATAAATAGATCAGTGAAAACGCATGGTATCGCTTCGTTACTAATGCATTCGTGCCAACAATGAATGGGCCCGTTATCGGCATCGTCATTCATAAACTCAACTTATCGAAATAATATCGAAAAATCTATCTAAAAAGGCTTATTTTTGATTGAAAAAACACATACACGTTCTTCTTCACCACTTTCTGAAGAGGTTTGTGATTGTGAAGATCTTCGTGGGAATGAGCAAATCGACAACGAACAACCGATAACAGATAGATAGGTGGACAGTCTACGAATGGGAGGAGTCGACAGAGTGATGCGGTTGTGTTAGCACAATCGTTAAGTCAATAGAGGAAATTGGTCTTCCAAAATTTAGGGCCTAGAATTTTCCTTGGAGCAAAATGGTGATTTTTCTGCACTCGAGATGTGGAATAGAATGAATGATCTATAACGTTCGGACTAAAACTTTGGTGTTTCAAAATAATATCACATTAGCTATGCTACGAAAGGTCTACAGCATCTCTTTGATCGACAAATTTTTTATAAGCTGAAAAAAATTTTTTCAATGCCGGCAATGGCAGTTATGCTCTAGCATCCATGAATGAAAATCAGTTCAGGTGGAATAAATCATACAGACACGATCTATATTGCAGCCGTAACTGTGCTCGGATATTAATAAAAACAATGATATACTATGAGAATCCCCGTATCCTCTGAACCCTCGCATCGCTTGCATCACTTACATCACTTCTAATCCTTTTGATCAAAAGAAGTCTCGACTAAGCACCAGCAAAATCTCCATTTATATCTGTTGCGTTACAGAGCTGTAACAGTAGACCATGTTTGATCATGTTTATTTTGTATAACAAAAGAGCTAGTTGCGACTTGACCAGTTATACTAGCAAAATTACTGGAAACTGATTTCCTAGGTGAAAACATGGAAAAACAAGCTTAGGTGACCTGGTGAGTAGATGAACATTCACATAGTAGGCTGACAACTCAAAACACTCGCTATGGTGTGATAGATAACTCTATCTAACACGACTGGCAAGGACAATCTCGAGAAATAGTGTAAACGCTATTTTCAGATTATCACTGTAGTCAAGAGAAACCGTGAGCAAAAATACGACCTCAGGCGGGAACCGAACCCGCGTTTGATCCATACCGCGGACACCTGCTACCACTACACCACCGAGGTATATTCACACCACCACTCATTCTTCAATATCTCTATGATAGTTGTCAGCCACCAACCTCCAACAGGTTTGGTGATAGTACGCGTCCCCGCTATGGATGAAACGCGGGTTCGACTCCCGTATGAGGTTGTAATTTTGCTTATCACTCAGTTCTCTTAGATACTTATGAAACATCATAACACTCCGAAAAAGGAACTAAAAACACTAGAAATCTCGGTACCACTATAGTCGTTGGTGTTTATTAGAAACATTGCTGATCCAGCTGTCTTACGTCATTCATCTTCTCGGGATTAATCGGTGATGAGTAAACAAAAGAGCGAAGGTCCAATATATAGCCTTTTTCGTTGGATGACGCCATAAAACTTCAAACTTGATTAACATCGTCACTTTCCGTGACTTTTCATTTTCTGCTTGATGCAGTTACGTACTTTTTGCCTCAAGATTTAACATTAAAACTACGAAATCTACAAGTTGAAGTGAAGAGATAAACTGTAGCGTTTATGTAGAAGTAGTACAGTAAATCGATATATGAAATTAGACGCGATTCTTGGGGAAAAACAGCTGACTTCTCTAGCTTTATTGGAAAGGCTTGTTGATGAAATATGGTTAAAAAACTAAGCTGACATAGTATTAGAAGAAATGTTGACGAAAATAAATTGTATTGTTGAATCAAAGAAAAACAACGAGAAACGATGACATGCACTTGACCAAGTTCAAGCAGAAGCTGGAGACAACGGTGTGGAACGGTAAGAGATTCAATAGCTCTTTGAGTTGAAACAGAAGAGAAGGACAAACACAAAAAGGATGAGTGATCGCGAAAAAGAGAGAGAAGAGAAAATGTTGTAAGTACATAGCGGTATAACGAGAGAATAAAACATATCATCCTCCTATAGTCCTTGTGTTCAAATAGGTTAATAGGCACAGAGTAAATTGAAGCAGTAACTAGAGCATATAATATGTCATTCTCATCTGATAAGAAAAAGAGAGAAAGAGAAGAGGAAGGGGGAGGGAATAGAGGGAGGGAAAGAAGAAAAGAAGCTTAAATGATAGTCATCGGCGACGCAAAGCACATTATCTGAAATGTAGGGTGCCAAGGTAAGCTGTTTCTGTACAAATGATCACAAGGCGATAAAGCTGTTTACACTATACGTATTCGTTGCTTTGCTTTCCAATAAAACCAGAATTCTCTAGGAATTACTAAAGCAAACATTGACGAGTATTTCAAACAAGAGCTCGGATCATCTATCATCTATTGAGGAGCAGGTGGTTTCAAGGTGAGGAACAAAGCCCGTATGAGACAAAGGCGAATCGATGAATGGAAGCATGTTCGTTAATTCGGGCAACGTTGACGTCCTGTAGAGTGTCTGAGGTGGCTAAACGATCTTGCGAAACTCTACAATTTCTGACGAAACACAACAAATCGGGGGGGCAGTACGAGGGAACGTTCACGTTCTGATTCGCTCAACTTTCGATTACTCGACAAAACAATAGACTATATATCACTAATGCCACGAATGACTCAGCAACAAAATGTTGGTGAGAGGTGTTTGTTTTCGAATAAACTCGACCTATCGCTCGATCTTATCGATACTTGGAACTCCTTCACATTTGATCATTACTTGCCTGTTTCTTCGGCGACATAGGAAAAAACAGCTGAACTTAGTCACTCAGTTTTCAAGAATTTTAGCACAACAACGATAAAGGTTTTAAGGTGGTCTGTCATATTCTTCCAAAAAGTGAACGAGTTCTGTTGCAAATTCATGGAACGGAACGAGCACTCCTCTCCGTTCATTAACAAGCCCACATGAGTTTCCCAGATGAGTTTTTCTCCTGCCGGTGACATTTCGGCGATATCGCAATTCTCGCAGTCATATTGATTCGAGTGTATACCGGACTGTACTATTAGTGCTAATGCTTCTATCACATTCACTCAAATCGAGTGAATTGGAACTCTACACCAACAAAGCAACTGTAGAGAACAGAGTTTGAAATAGTTGTCTCTACAAGGTGCATTGGGCGGGAATCGAACTCGGGTCGTTCGCGTGGTAGGCGCACATTCAATCCAAAGTACAACATTAGTAGAAACAATCGCTCTACCAAACAACCATGACTGATCAGTCCTTCACATCGAACGTGCATCCCACTACTTCACCCATAGTCAGACAGTTATGGACACTTTGGGTACATTTCACTTTCCAAAACGCACCACTGAATCTCTTTATGAAGAAGCCACTGAACCCCTTCATTATACGGCACATACGACTACAGAACTTACAAACACACTAAGTAACTAGTCCCATCACGAGACACCCTAATATATGGAATGTTCTTTGGTCGATGAATCATTCAACGTAACCTATATTTCACTCTCCACGAAAAATGTTATAGCGAACAGCATTTCATCGCCATAAATTGAGAGATAGTTTGTTACTCCCACTTTCACATGGTCTGGTATCACATGTGTGGGCATGACTCATTTTCGCATCGATATTCAACAAAAATTTCCGGATTTTGCTTGTTCTTTGCCCATTGGATGAAAATTCCACCTTTTTCATGCATTAATTATAAACGGATATTGCTCGGGTCAGATCTCCCTGAAATCCTCACCCGTAATAAAGGAAATACATTGCTTATAAAACGAAATGTTTGTGATAAAACACTCATATAACGCACACTATAAAGTGGTATACAACAAATAGAAAGGAATAAAGTATTTCAAAAGAATTAACTAAAAAGATTTGAGGATATGTCACAGCAGTTTTGAAACAGATATTCCACTTTGCCAGTTGCATAGAACAATTAGTTTTTCGGTTAAACAACCGCAGAAACCGATGCTAGCGAAGGATTGGCAATGAAACAAACTTCGTTCGTAATTCCTTGATGATCAAGCTACCACGAGGTTGACAAGTAAAGTTTAAGAACAAAGAACGATCATCCTACCTTCCACTACACGAAATCACTTAGAAAAAACTTCATTCAATTAAGGAGATGGTGGGTGAAGATAAAAGCTTAGATACGCCTCATAAGCTACCTCGAAGAAATATGTGTACGGAATTTGGAAATTAAGGATACCCAATAAACAATTAAAGCTAAACATAAATAAGGCTATTATGTTGGGCTGAGCGTTACAAGAGAACGAGACAAAGGAAAACGAGGCTGACACATTATGCAAATACAAGCCATCAGAGTGGGTGTATAACTGACTGCAAGCACATCATAATCATCACATAGCAGCGCTGCGTCTAGAAGGGTTAATTAAAGAGTAATCATCCAATTTCCCACTCCATAAAATCAACAAAAACTTCTCTAGCGATATGAAGGTGGAAATGCGCTTGAAAATGATTAGATATAGAGTATTCGCATAATATTTCACATGTACTCCCAGTAGACATGGTAGGAAACAAATGACAAGCTGCCACTCAGTCGATATGAATGAAAAGTGTGAATAAGGAAGGTTCTGCCATGGGATAGATCACCGCCGCCATTTACCATAGGAAAAAAGAAGTTTAGAGAAAAGCACAGAACAACGACCATAAGTTTACGCTTTTCTTTACATCGACCTTGTAGTAATATGCTTAATGGTACCGTAATGCCCTTCGACATCTCAGTCTTGAGTCGGATTTCATACCTCAGTCAATCGATCAACGTTGTGGATCGGAACAACATCGTATATATATATAATAATATATATTATATATATATATAATATACGTATTAAAAAAGCTGTTAAACATGATTTTGTTTTGGATTCTACAGCGTTATAAAAGGGTTTTTGGGACCGACCACGTGGGGGCTTTAGCCATGGATACAATCTTTCAAATGATTACTAACACTCCCATGCAAAGTTCCTGTCCAGCGAATGAGATCGTTTTTTTCATTTGTTCCCTTATAATCAGAAGGACCCGAGATATGGTCAAACGATCTGAGATGAAGTCAACAGTAAATGAAACTACTTTAATTTGAAGAAGAAAGTAAAAATTATGAAGTGCAACAACAGCAAGGAGAGATTGCGACGCTTAACGAGCCCATTTGTCGGCTACGACTATTCGAGGAAATTTTTGCAATAATTTTCATCAAAAGAATGGTCACATTCGAAGTCGACCATCTTTATGAATCACAGTAGTCAAAGGAAAGACAGAATGGACGGATGATGCGCTTGCGTCTATCCTACTCCATGAACTTTGGCTAGCTAACTATTAACCAAAAGTCACTCCATTAAAAAAAAAACGACCTAGGCTCATATATGTTCTCAGTTCTTTTCTTGAATGAGATATGGGTTGAATTTAACCTTGACAACTATTCTAATCGATTTCCAATGAGAACGACATGGACCTCAGTATGTTCACAAGCAAGCAATTCGCTAAGGAAGTTCCAAGACGTTTAACTAATTGAAGACAACCAGAAATTGTTTTTGTTCTACGACTTACTGCCGATAATTAAACCCTAAAGTGCACGATACATCATCAAAAGAATATACTTTGTCTATAATGAATGTTAGTGGTTAGGGAAAATGGTAGAACTTCGTGCTCTTCATGCAAATTGAGTGGCAAAGAATCAAAGGGCAATCAAGGAGAACGTATAAAAAAAAAGCCTTTCAAAACAATGGACATCTCTAGATACCTTCCAAGAAGACCTTAATCTGTAGAATTCAATCAAATTACGAAGTTTCTAGAAAAAAAAAAAGCACTGGCAAAGATTCCACATCAACGATAACCATAGAAAATGGATCGCAACTACCATTTACAGAAAAAAAATCATGATTGATAGAATAGCGGAAGATACGCAGAAAAGAGAAAACGATGTGCAGAAACATGTGTGGGATCCTACTCTCAATTGTGCTAGGGAAAGAATTCTTCTTAGAAGAGCTTCCGTTTATGTTAAGAATAATAACTGGCGAGTAAGACTACCGACAAACTCACTCATAATTAAAAGCATCGAAAATGAGTCCAATACCTCTATAGACTAATGAAAAACTTATGAGACCATCGATCAGCAGCTAATA